TGATTTTGGGGGGGGGGGGAGAGAGGAAGAGACATCCACCGGCTGCCTCCATACACGCCCCAACCGGGCCTTGAACTTGCAACCTAGGTATGTGCTCAGGATCGAACCCACGACCTTTTGGTGTCCAAGTGAGCCACCGGGCCAGGGCCAGCGTACTGAACCTTCCCCACCCGGGGCTGCTACCTGGAATGTTGGGTCACTGAGAAAAATTAACCCCCAAGTAAATGACCACGATCAAACACAGGCCTGTCGTTCAGCTGGGCGTAAGGCACAGTACCTGACACGATCAGGGTGGCGAGTCTCCTGGGAGCAGACCACTGAGTCACCTGCCGCGGGTTTGTTGTGCCTGCACTCGGACCTCGACTGTCAGTGAAGACAGCTAAGTGATTTCCCGCCCCTAGAAGTAAACTTCCTCCACGCAAGGACCCTTCAGACAGGCTGGGCTGTCAGAACTGCTTCCCGCGGGGCCGTGGGGGCAGCCCGCACCCCGCAGAGAGGAGCGCCGGGTGCGTGCTGTTCCCGAGTCACCTGCAGATGCTCGGGGGCAGAGGAAAAGGCATTTGGCGGCAGGGGCGTGAATGACGCCTTCGACGTCCTGTCCCTGTGACACGTGTCATTGGTGAATCAGTTCCAGACAGTCTGGCTGTGAGTCCGTCTCTCCACTCCCAGAGCCTCACCTCCTTCCAGCAATTTCTACCGATGTCCACGGCGGTGAGCCCAGGGGGCGGGGCTTTAGTTGGAGCCAAGGCTGTAGACGTGCAGAGCCCCGGAGAGCCGGGCTCCCAGAGAGCTCCTGCCAGCAGCCACGACCACTTGGTTCTGTGGGGACACAGAGCTCATCAGTCACCAGAGGACGCTGGAGATGCACATAAGTGAGACATTGGCCACTACTAAGCACCTGGGGGCCGGGACCAGAGTTGCCTTGCCCTCCTCTGGGGCCCAGCGTGACCCTGCTCCTCACACACCTCTGTGCCTGCCCTACCCTGCCCCAGCCCCACCAGAGGCTTCCGAACAGCTCAGGAGGGGCCAGGCCTGATTCCAGCTCACTGTCCTCTCAGTCCCCACCACTCACTGCTCACAGGCCACAGAACGGGAAGGAGCTATGGGTCACCTGTACTCAGGGAACAGCTCTGAGCACCCTCAGTGTCCTGGCCTCAGGTCTGCACCAGGAAAGGGAGGTGACTGTGAGATGTTATCAGAAAGGAATCAACTGTCCTGTTAACATACCGCTCTGCACAGCTGGGGGACGTTGTGGATACGCGGGTAATTTTTATAAAATGCATGGGTTCTGGATAATGTCTAATTCTTGAAAAATGAATAAAAATTTAAGTGTAAACCAAGCTTATGGCATAAAGTAGTCCTATGACCAGAGCTTTTGAGAATCCTCCTGTAAACAACCCATCGCTTGCAGTTAACCCTAAATTTTATTACCAGGCGGCAGGCTTGTGAATGGGTTAAAGCCCCAGCCACGTGCACTGTTGGCCACTAGGGGGCGATTTCCGCCCGGTTCTAGGCCGGGGGCAGCGCCCAGCGCGGCTGATGACTCGCGTCTGCACTTCCCACAGGAATCATCTTAACTTTCCTCAAGAGCATGGGCTCTGTCTGCTGGCTTTATGTCCACACCCACACAGCTCTGTGCCATATCCCGTCCTCAAAATAAACGTGCTGCCTGGGGTCTAGCGGGAAGGGTCCCGTCAAACCCTTTGGCCTCTGTAGCCAGCATTCCAAGTGACTTCACCCACAGGGCCACCTGCAGTTACGCAGAGGCGCAGAGGCAGGAGTGCTCGCTGCAGCACTGCCCGTAACAGCAGAGTCAGCGTGGGTGGGGATGTGGGCGGCGGGAATAGACACGGCATCTGGACAGTCAAACACTCGGCAGCACTAAGAAGGCTCCCGAGCAGAGTGCACCTGTGTGGGAGGAGCAGCGAGGACGGGCCACTGAGACGGTGACAGAAAAGCGTGTTCACCTGCCCCTGCGTCACGCGGGGCCTCACCGTCCGCAGTGGCTCTCGCTGCGAGGGGAGCCGCTTGATGCCCGAGTCCCACTGAGACTCCCGGAGGCAGCACCCCCAACTCACAGAAACTTCATGTGTCACCGAGTCCTCTCCTGTTTGGCCATTTGGACACGAGATGACCATTATTGGTCCGTGGGCTGCACAGGCCAGGCAGCCCCCTGCAGCCGCCCACAGCCTCGCCCACCAGCCCTGCCACCAAGGGTGGGACAGCTGGGGTCAGAGGGGAGCGTCCCCCAAAAGTGGTGGCACTGTGTGTGGTAGGAGTTTGTGTGATTTTGTGGGTTCCTCTCTTTTCCAAGTAAGAAGAAACACAGAAACACGAACAAGATGAGATCATCCCCAAACCCCAGCCCTAGGACAGAGAGATGTCAGGCGCACAGTCCTGGGACCCACCTTGTCCGGGGACCGCACGGTGACCATGGAGCTCCCGAACCGCGAGCTTGCCTGTGGAGCAGAGGCAGGGTCAGAATGCCTCCTGAGGACACCAACACTCATCGGCTACAGGAAGAGGAGAGAGCCTTTTCGGCAGTTTCCTTTATTCCCGCAGGAGCTACTTACTTCGGGAGAGATCAGTACGTGTTGGGCCTGAAAGAAAATGGTGAGAAAGGGAGACTGTTAGTGTTGCTATGTGCACGTGGGGTTTTAGCCAGTTCTACACCCCACGCTCCGTTTCTACGTTGCCACAGAGGCCTTACACGTGGGTGCCCGTGGACACCAGGAATTCCATTTAGACGAATTCAGCTCAGAGAGACAGATGTGCAAAAATGTTTATATGTGAACATTATTTCATAACAGTGATTAAATGAACTACAGATAAAATGCACGGCAGGCCCGGCCAGCACGGCTCCTGCTGAGCATCGGCCCATGAACCAGGAGGTCACGGTTTGGTTCCCGGCCGGGCACATGTCTGGGCTGCGGGCTCGATCCCCAGCAGGGGGCGTGCAGGAGGCAGCCGATCAGTGACTCATCATTGACGTTTCTATCTCCCCCTCTCCCTTCCTCTTCCTGAAATCAATATAAACAGTTTAATAAAAGAGTTTTATAAAAAAATACATGACAGCCACTACATGTATCGTACATGTACAGGGAGGCACAGAAAAGTGTTCTTGTTACGTTGACAGGTAAAACAAACACGTTGCAAATCATGTGTGGATCTGTGAGCAGTGTGATCAGTTGTTAAAAATGTGCACAGTGTGACCGTTAGGACTGTGTTCACATCAGCTCTGGGTTCGAGTCCTGGCTCTGCTAGTTCCCAGAAGGTGACAGGAACAACTCTCCAGTCTTTCCCACCTGTAAATGGGCCTGACACCAGCCTAGCTTTGATACGGATTCAATAGGTTAAGTTCTGAGAGGTTAACAGGCGTTATCTCTGCAGAGTGGAATTCTAGGTAAATGGTTTTTTAATTTTCTTTGTATTGTTTTGTATTTTGTAAAATTTTTACAGCAAACTTTCATTAATTTTTCAAGTTAAAAAATAAACCTTAAATCTGAAAATAGGAATGGCCACGTGTCATGGGCCCAGGAGATGGCAGTGCAGTGGGACACGCGGGAAGGGAGCTGGAGGAGCTGCTGTGGCCTGTCCCTCGCCGTGGGCAGAGCCAGGCAGTGGCAGGTGTGACCAAGGTCAGCGTGGCACCAGGTCCAGCCGTATTTGAGCTGCAGGGGCAGGTGCTATGGAGCAAGGACGCGGCGGCTGGGCCTACAAATCGCAGCTAAGGGCGCATGCCCTGACCCAGGACTCGGGTTCCGGTAGAAATGGTGAGTCCTGTGGTGGACGTGACCTAACGGAATCGGCAGCCGTCCCTGGACAGCGAGGTCAAGTTTTGCAGAGAACATTACCTTCTCCTCCGGGCACGGGGACATCCAGGACTTGCATTTGCCTGTCATGTCGCCAAAGATGGTGTGTTTGCCGTTGTAGACGTAGACACGGCCGTCCTCTCCCCCGATCAGCCCCGAGGTCACGTCCGCTATCCTCAGGGGCGCGGCCACGATGACCTCGTCTGTGACAACAGGACCGGCGGAAGGAGGCGTCTCACTCCCGTCACCTTCCCTGTCCTCACCCGCCTCCCACAGATCCTCCCTGTGCCAGCTGCGTCCCGAGAGTCCAGTTCGGTTTCCTGTTTGATCTCATTTGTCAGCAGCTGACCGGGCGGCTCTGGTGTCACCACCTTCGAGAGGTGCAGCTCCTCTCGTACACCTGGCGGGGTCCTGCCTGACAACCTACCTAAAGGCCCGAGGGCCACCGGGCGTCAGGTACGAGGGCAGAGCCTTAGTGACCCGGGTAGGGGACCCGTGATGGGAAAGGGGCCGGGTTCCTGGCCAGGCCCCTACCTAGGCCGTCACCGTCCAGGTCGCTCAGGTGCAGGACGCCTCCGAAGCGGGAGAAGCGGCGGTCTCCGCTGAAGGTGCTGAGCAGGGAGGGCCCCGCGCCGGGGCCCAGCGCGTACATCCGCGTGGCGCCGCCCTGGTGCAGGGTCATGGTCAGGAAGGCCACTTTAGACACGTCATCTGGAAGGAGCGCGCAGCTCAGGACCCTGCTCACGCGCAGGGCGGCAGGATGCGCGGCGTCGGACAGACGCCAGGCCCGCTCGGGCACCTGTCCACGCGCCACCTACCATGCGTCGGGGCTCCAACCAGCAGCACCTGCGTCCGGGCCCCGCTCACCATCACGTGGCCGCTGGACAGGGAGGTGCCGAGCTTCCCCATCGCCTGCGGAACCACCGCAGCACAGCTCAGAGGATGCCCCCCGCGCCACCCCGTCCTGGGGAGAGGGGGCGAGGGCCGGGGGCGAGGGCCGGGGGCCACCCTACCTTGTCCCCAGAGATGGTGAAGGAGCTCTGGCGGTGGGGCGGGAAGTAGCCGTGTACCCGTCCCAGGCTCTGCTTCTCCTTTCGTGAGTGGAACAAGTGGCCCAGGCTGGAAGGAAGCATGCGGGGCGCAGGTGGGGGGCCGGGGGCTGGCAGGGGTTCGGGTCCCAGGGAAGAGAGCCCCTCGCCCCCACCTGTGACCCCAGCCTGCATTCTCGGTCCCTGTGACCGCAGGCGTGGAGTGGGGGTCGGGGGCTTTCAGAGGGAGGCCCAGTGTCAAGACCCTAGGATACAAGGCCCACCATCGGCCCCAACTGACGGCACAGGGGTGCCCACCGTTACGGGCTGACCTGTGTCCCCAACGCTCACCTGCTGGCGTTCTTCCAGGTGGGGCTCCCCGCCAGCAGCAGGGTTCCGTTGTCGGTGCTGACGCCGTGGAGGGAGTAACCGAGCCAGGAGAAGTCCTCCTCGCCGCTCACCTGCCAGTCGGCCGCCTCCACACTCAGTTTGTCTGCACAAGACAAGCAGCCCCTTTACTGGGAGGACAGGAGGGAGGGAGGGCAGGTGGCCTCTGCAGGTAATGACAGACGGCTCACCTGCCGAGTTTTCCCAGAATTCTCAGACACCCCCCCCGTTCCCAGGGCCCCAGCATTAGAAATAGGCCTCGAAGGTCCTGTAAGAAACGTGTTTCTAGCGCTCATGTCCGTGGCATGGCGTGGCGTGGCGTGGCGTGGCGTGGCATCACGTGGCACAGCGGATGCTGCACAGAAGGGCCAGTCTGGGACGCCGAGCGCGTCAAGGCCGCCTGTGGTGTCCCTGCTCTGTCACGGGGAGACTAAGAATAAGCCACTGGCCCCTTTGGACCTGGATCTAGACGTGGGGTATCTCCGTGTGCTCAGTGACTCCAACCGTACCCCTCGCCAGAGCCCCCGTAAGAGCAGGAGACCGCGGGGACTCTGCGCGAGAGGACGTGGACTGAGGAAGGAAGGAAACACCGCGCATGCGGGAGGGGGCCCCGGGGACCAGAGCGGGGACAGCCCCCCCCCCCC